GAAAACCGGAAGAAGTGCCCTCTCCTGGAAGCCAAGTGAAGAAGTTTCAGTCAGGAACAGAGGGGTCACCCAGGTCAAAGGCTGCTGATGAGTCAAGGGATGAGGGAGCCTTAACTGACCTGGGGATGTGAAGACATGGAGGTCGTTGGGGCCCTCCACCAGAGCAATTTGTCAAGTGGTAGGGGGTAAAAGCCTGAGTAGTAGGTTCAAGAGGAAAATAGGGGGAGAGAAGTGGGAGAGGAAGTGCATAGGCGTCTCTCAAGTCCTCTCAAGTCCCATGCCAAGAAATGGGGCTGTGGCCAGAGAACATTCAAGAGGCAAAGGTTTTTAAGGTGAGAGAAAGACTAGCCTGTTATGATGCTAATGGGCACGATTCGGTGGAGCAGGGCATGTTAATGGGGCGTGAGAGGGAAGAGTCAGTAGAGCGGCCCCGCCAGGGAGACACCGGGCCCAGGCGGAGACAGGGCCTTGGAGCCCTGGTGCCGGACTCAGCCCTGGCTGCGCGGCACTGGTCCACGGGCAGAGTCACGGGAGAGAAAAGAGCATGTGGCCGCAGACGCACGAAGGCGGGTAGGTGCAGTGGTGGGAGTGTGCGCAAGTTCTCTCCAGACTGTTGCAGTTGTCTCAGCGGAATGGTAAGCCAGCCCAACAGCCGAGAATGAGGACGGAGGAGGGGCAGGCGTCGGTGGGCTGGCCTGGAGAGCGAGGAGCAGGCAGGAAACCCAGGAGGGCAAGCCAGTGAGCGGAGCGGTCCGGCGCAGTGTGGTTTCTGCACAGCATTGAGGGCCTGCTGGAGGGAGCCGGCCTGGGCATGGGGCGAGGGGTTCGGCACAGTCCAGCTTTTCTCCAGCCAAATTCAGCTGCGTGGGTACAGGTGCACACTTCAGTGGAGAATTGGATTTAACCAGGTTGTCGTTTCGCCGAATAAGTACAACAAAGTGAAACGGGGCGAGACAGTTTATTCCAGGGACTGATGATTATTGTCCGTGGATTACAAGCTGGCTGTGGGGAAGGGTTCTGCCAACAGTGCCATGAAGTAGATAATGCAAGCAGCATTCCTGTTCTGTACACGATGCCACTGACCCAGAGCTCTTAAGTGGGAGGTCACTGGACTTGGTCAGGGTCCTGCTTAACAGCACATGTGAGGTTAGACCCGGATCTCCTACCGTAGTTTAACCCATTTACCACCCAGGAAATCAGACTTTCTCTTCCGTAGAGAACAGTTCATTTCCCCCTTAACACAATAGGCAAGTGTGTTAAGCAACTCAATCTTGAGTTGCTTAATCATCGTACACATGTGTCTCAGAGTAGAGCTGCATGCTCGGAAAGTTGGCTCTGAAAAAAATGGAATTTTCCCATTGACTTAGATCCCAAAAGTGGAGCAACACTTCACACGGAAAACATTAAAGCATCTGCTACACTACTTGCTGTTTCTCACATCCATCCTGCCCTGTTTTGCCTCCATCCATTCGCTCATCCATTTGTTCTCTCTGCTAGCACTGTCCTCATTTTCCAGTTGGTTTGTCTTCTGAAAACATACCATCCTTCATGCCTACCTCAACTGCTGTGTTTTTTGTGAAACCTTTCTGGATGGTTCTATGTCCTCCTTCCTCCATCTCTTTTTTTCCCCCCAAACTGGATGCAAATTCCCCCCTCCTTTGAATATGTTTAGCATTTTGTTCTTATGGGATATATTTTTTTTTAGTAATCTCTACACCCAACATGGGGCTCGAACTCAGGACCCCGAGACCAAGAGTCACATGTTCTTCCAGTCACTGAGCCAGGCAGGCACCCCTCTTATGGGATCTATTCTACATATTTGTGAACTGATCTCCCTGCCCTCTACCTTACATATGAACACATATGTACATGCATTTAAAAGACTGAGGGCATGCTTGACTCCTCTTTGTATCAAGTGCTCAAAACTTACACGTGGTGGGTGTCCTCATCTTTTTTTGAAATAAATTTATCAATAGGTGTGAGTGGCACCTTTGGCAAGGAAAGATTTTAAGATGACAGGCAAACCTGGGCAGAAGCTGGCCAGTGGGCTTGAAAGAGCACCGGACTTGGGGATGGGTGTCGGTTACAAGGTGCACTTGGCTACTCATTCGCCAACATCAGTGGATCAAACATTCAGCTGAACTGGGGGTTCCAAGAAGTCTGGTCAGGGGCTGTCAAGCCTCTCCCACCAAAGCAGCTCTGCTTTTGGCTTTTATCTCTAAATATATTTGTGTTTTCCATGTTCACGTAATATTTTATTCAAATGGATGACCCATGCCCCCCTCACCACCGCCAGAAAGAATTTCAAAATGCCTGGAGTAAATGATGTCTCTGATCTCTCCTCACCTGAATGTTCTTCTAGGCTTGCCTACTGTGTGTGTGTGTGTGTGTGTCTGTATTATGAGGATTAAGTAGAAGACATTTCCCTACCTCCAAGGCTTAAGGCAAATATGTGTAAAAGATTAAGTGTATATAACATGAATGACTAAAAATGTATAGTACAGTTAATCCAGTTAGATTATAAACCCTTCCAAAGCTGTCTTCTTTATATATCTTCAGCCCCAAGTCTGACAATTTCTCAATTGAAGCCAAGACTTTTTTTTTTTTTTTGACCTTCTGGTATTGTCTCTGAGAATTTATATATTGAAATAAATATAATTTTGTCTTGAGTTAATTTCCTTTTGGTATTCCTTTCTATTACCAGTAGGGAATTATTATTTTTTTAAATTATACACATAAGTAGGTTATCATCTGTGACTACCCTTTGAGATTGATAACAGAATATTACAGGATATTTGTTCTAAGAAAGAGGTGTTGGGTTTGATAGGGTTGAGAACTACTGGTCTCTGCTATATACTTAGGTGCTTAGATGTTTGGTAATATTGGTAATTTAATCAATCAAAATCAGTGGGAGACATTTCAAGTGATGTAGGAGGTTAGAAAAAGGAAGGATTATTGTGGATTTGGGTTGTCATGAAATGGATGATGGAAGAGAGGATTGTTAGAGGGGTTCTTACATACTGAAGACCAGACACCATGATAGACACTTGACGTACCTTATCTCGAAGAAATGAATGACCAGACTTGTCAGAGAGACCGAGGAAGCAATTTCTAGGTAGGGTAAATCACACAATTTAAAGTTGGAAGGACGTCAGGAAATCATCTAGGCCAGCAGTTCTTACTTCGGGGTTGGTGTCACCCTTAGAGGTTTGTGGATGGATTTCCAGGAACCCACGAACCCCCTAAAATTGTAGATACCATTTTGTGTAGCTTGGATTTATAGTTCTCCTTGGAACCTCTAAATGGGGTTCACCACCTCTAAGAAGTTAAGGGCTACTGATCTAGTCTGATCTTAAGCTCAGATCGGTTGTCTGGCTCAACCTTACCCAGCCAGTTAGTGACCGAGATGGGGACCGAGACCCAGGTCTTTCCACTTATAGTTTCTTGCTCACTTTACCCCACTCAGTTGAAGGACATAAACAAAAACCGAGGCTGGATTAAGCTACCACTTTATGGTAATTGGTGTAAAAACAGACAATGGTCCTCTGTTCGATAGTCTATTTCTACAAGAGTTGCAGAAGGACGGGGTTCAATCTGTCTCCTCCAAGTGCACTATTATTTTAATTTTTATAATTGAAATACGCTGCCACTCTCCAAAATAGCTTTCTTAGCTGAAGGAAGGCCAGCTCTCTGAGTGTTATCCCTGAGGCTGTAGCTCCAGTTCCTCTCCAGTTGGCACTGTTTTCCTGACCTGCCACGGCTCTCAGTTTTGGGCCTAATCAATTCAAAATCACTTTGTTCTGTCAGACCCTGTACTCCCCTCGCCTCTCTAGCCAGCATGCAATCACTCTGTGCCCCAGTCAGGCTAGTGTCCTTATTATGGGCACTCCCTACTCCCCCAAAGCCCTTTCACCCCTATCTCTGTGTCTCTCCATGTGGCTTCTCTGCCCGGAATGCTCTCCATTCTTTTCCTCCTTTGCCGGGTCCAGTTTAAGTCTCATGTCCACAGAGCCTCCCTTACCTACTGGTGGCCATTTCACATTCCCTCTGGACGCCTGTTGCATTTATTTTTTGTACCGCACGCCACAGCTCTTGGCTCTTCCCACGAGGCTTTTCACTGGAAAAGCTTCGGTGGCGGGCACTTTGGGAGTGGGGTTCCGGGAAGTCCGGGAGGTGTGCTCTGGATACCCCCCGTCTCCCTAATTCAGCCAGAGCAGTTCCACCTCAGTTGCATATGTAGGAAGTCTGCATGAGTTTTTATTTGAAGAAGCGGTTTAGCTGCCCCTCTACCCCCCCCCCCCAAAAAAAGTTTGAAAGACAGTGGATCTGACTCATGTGCTGACTGCCTCATGAGTGTTAAGTGGTAATGGGCAAGGGCCAGGACTGGACTGACACTAGTTGAGACCTGCTACTACTATTCCCGGGCACCGGGTGCGATTTTGAGCACAAAATGAACACAGGAAATGACTTTACAATTGTATTGCTCAACAGTTTTTGGGATAGGAGATCATGAACAGTGTTACCTCAGAAATAGTATTTCTGGGTTGATCGTTGAGAAATAAACCTACATTTGTGGATTTCTCCCATTTTGGATATAAAACCTAATCCTATTTAAAACTACCTGTTTTACATTTACGTATTTAGGAGAAACCTCACTATTGGCATTCCCAAAGTTCAACTGATCTTCAATATCACATCCGTACATTCGTGTAAGCATTAAAGTAGTGTCACTCAACTGACTTGCAGAGTGATGTTCAGAGGAGAGTATACCTAAACACCTAGACATAATTAAATTCAGAAGTTTATGGCAATGCTTAAAAATGGAAAATGCCAGTCTTTCAGACCAGTTATTTCAGCTTTCTGTATCAGATCAATTATATAAACTACTGAAGACCTGAGTATTTAAATCAGTGTTGCTATCAACTTGTTAATACTCTTGTTTTTTTTGTTTTTGTTTTTTTTTTCCCTGCTCTCTGCTGGCTCATTGTCTTCACCTACAGGTGTCCTTTATTGTCGGCTTCCAAAGATTACTAACTTCTATCTGTACCATTAAACTTGAACTGCCTTGGCTATACTGCTACTCTTAATTGCTGCTTCCATTATTGCCTTCTTCAGCAAAACAAGGCTTTCTGCAGCCAAAGAATAACAAGAAATACACACCACTGTAGGAGCCTTGCCACTATGAAACTTAGGCTAAACGTGCTCACCATTATTTTGCTGCCTGTCCACTTGTTAATAACAGTATACAGTGCCCTTATATTTATTCCATGGTATTTTCTTACCAACGCCAAGAAGAAAAACGCTATGGCAAAGAGAATAAAAGCTAAGCCCACTTCAGACAAACCCGGAAGTCCATATCGCTCTGTCACGCACTTCGACTCGCTAGCTGTCATAGACATCCCCGGAGCCAACACTCTGGATAAGTTATTTGATCATGCCGTGTCCAAGTTTGGGAAGAAAGACAGCCTTGGGACCAGAGAAATCCTAAGTGAAGAAAACGAAATGCAGCCAAATGGAAAGGTTTTTAAGAAGGTACAGCATTCTCGCGCCTTTTAATTTTTCTTTTAAGGGGAAGGTACGCATCCCTTGATCATAGATCAAATGCGTTTTAAATATGCTGCCATTCCACTTAAATGTTCTGTGTAACCAATTCTCAGAAGGTGCTCACAGCTTCTGTATATTCACTTAAAGGCAGTTTTAGAGTTCTATACTTGGAATAGTATTTTAACTGCTTATTTGAATAAATATACTAATATTAGAGAATGTCTCCCTTTAACAGTTAATTCTTGGGAATTATAAATGGATGAGCTATCTCGAAGTGAACCACAGAGTGAATAATTTTGGTAGTGGACTCACCGCACTGGGACTGAAACCAAAGAACACTGTTGCCATTTTCTGCGAGACCAGGGCCGAATGGATGATTGCGGCCCAGACCTGCTTTAAGTACAATTTCCCTCGTAAGTGCCTTGTGTTTTTGGAGGGGGAGAGAAGGGGTTTTAGTAACATGTGAAATTGTTCTGTGATGCTGTTGTTTTCATGGTAGGTGTCCCTTAGCCATTTTTCTGCATGAGTTCTATCCGTACAACAGTACGTACTGTAGTTAAAAGATCTCTGATCATTCCTGTTAAAGAAAGTAATTTCTAAGCACCAGTATGGGAATTGGCAGCTTAATGGATAGAATTTAGAGTTTTACGTTTCAGTTGGAAGTGAATTATACGTGAAAGGTTTGGGGCTTGGGGGTGTTTTTTAGGGCATGACATACAAAGTAATGATTAAAACAAACAAACCAAAAAAAAAACGATCATTGCTTAGGATCATTCTAGTTTATTGCTTCACTTCGAGGCCTTTTCTTTGACCTCTTCCATTTTACATGTGGAATGAGCACATAACAACTTGAACTGACATTAGATATGTTGGCCAGAAAGTAAAGTATAGGGTATATTTCTGATTCATAAGCATTTGTTTTTGCCGTTGTGCATGAAATTGTTTTTAAAAATTTAAAGTCCAGAACAATGCCTACCACATACTGGGCACTCACTTATTTACTGAATTAAGAACACTACAAGTGTAGTATAGTAATCAAGAATTTGTATCTCAAACAAACAAAATGAATATGAAATGATCCCCTATGTACCCATCACCCAGCTTCAACAATCAACAGCTTGTGAAAAGTCTCTGTTCTTAACTATGTTGCTGTTTGGGTTACCAACCTAGAGCTGAATTTCCAATCTGATTAAAGTTCAGCAAATGCCCCTTGATTCTAACTGATCTTGGTTTCAGCTTATGTTTCCTTTGTCTGGCAGCTCCTCAAGAGTAGATCTCCTTGGCCCACCCATTTAAGGCTTGGAGGTCACCAATCAGCTTGGACATTGGACCCACTAAAAAAACTCCCTAGAAGGAGTGAGGACATGATTCTATCTTGAGATCCTCAATCTGAAGATTCTCAAGGACTTATTCATTCTTGGTGCTATGACCAATGAAAGAGCGTATCACAGGGTAGTTCTAGGTGGGCTAGCTCTGACTTAAATTAAGAGTTCAGCCAGAAGCTTATTGGCCTTGAGAATCTCGATTGACTAATTTTTGAACAATTATGCACTTCCAGTATTCCTGGGTTTCCTCAGGTTTAGGATGTTAGAATCCTGAGAATTTGTAAGGAACATTTGGGGCTACCGGGAAGTTTCAGGCAACATTTAAAGGTAATAGCAGAGATTTTGAAATCAAACGACATTATAAAATGCTTTGCATCCATGAGTGTACCCGTCACAAAAGGCTAACTTAATATATCTCATAAATGTTTATCATTTAACATATGTGTTTATTTTTTATTATGTAGTTGTGACTTTATATGCCACGCTTGGCAAAGAAGCTGTAGTTCATGGGTTAAATGAATCTGAGGCTACCTACCTGATTACTAGTGTTGAACTTCTGGAAAGTAAACTTAAGGTAAATCAGAATTTTTCTTTGAATTCATGGTAGTGTTCTCTGACAAGAGAATGTCCAATGATAGAGTTCATTACAGGCCCACATGTAATAGCTGGATCTTTTTTCTGCTCAACAGACTGCATTGTCAGATATCAGTTGTGTTAAACATATCATTTATGTGGACAATAAGACTATCAATAAAGCAGAATACCCCGAAGGATTTGAGATTCACAGCATGCAATCAGTAGAAGAATTGGGATCCAAGCCAGAAAACAGTAAGTAAAGCAGTGGAAACAAAATTTATTCATCTATTTAAGGTTTATTTCAGTAGGTTAGGAAAAGAAGTAATGCAAATGAAAACCGTAAAATTCTTTGATGTAAAAAAAATTTTTAATGTTTAAACTATCAAGACCATATATGATTGATTTTTCTCTCCTTTTCTCCTCAAAGGTAACCACTGTTTTAAAATTTACTAAATAGTTAATGTATTCAATGGTTCAGGCTTATGGTAGTCTGAACTTTTTTCAAGTAACCTGTTGTAACTTTCCTACCTGGACCCCAGGTAAAGAGAAGATCTCAGGCCTTCCATTCAGTAACCTTTTTTTTTTTTTTTTTTTTTTAATGCTTAATGCTGTCTCAGAGGATTTTAATGATGTCTCAGAGGATGCAGAACGCTGTTGGCCAAGCTCATGCTCCGATTTATTCTACCACTGAGGTGGTTTTTGGTATTTCATTTGAAACCAGTAGATGCGCCTTGTGGCAAAATGTCAGTTGGCCATCAGGACAGAGGGTTGAGGAAATTAAAGACTCCATTTCAATGATTTCTTTCTTCCCGTCTAAGGTGAAGATCACGATAGTCTACTAGATGAGGAAAGGGTTCACTTTGGTAGGAGAAAACGTTGCTTGAACCCCTGTTCAGCTTCTGAGTGTTTGCCCATTAGGGACTGAACACATTTGCACTGAGCAAGATTGACTGTACAGTGCTTTACCCAGTGTGGAGAACGGCACAGAGTCTGAGCTTTCATGCCACTTGGAAGCAAACAAGTGAGCCAGCCACAGCTTCTTGGAGGCCTGAGACTCCTGGGTCAGAGGTGAAGGACAGTTTTTTTATTCATGGCGAAAGCAGTAGCCAGGCAGTCAGCATCTGTGTTGCTTCCCCGCGCTCCGGTTTCCACAGGGCAGTGGGAAGAGGGTTGGGATGATACCTGTACCCGCAGCGAGTCATGTTACATGAGAGCGGCCGTGAGATGAGGGAGCCCAAAGCTCGTAGGGAGGGTAGTATGACTGCCCTTTGCCCTGGAGAGAGAGAGAGAGAGATTATTTCTATTGTACTGGACAGGAAGCACATTTACTCTTTTGCTCTGGAGGTAGATGCTATCTCCACCTTCCAAGGTTGTTTAGAACCCGGTCACTGCCTCTGTTCACAAGATTGTGCAGAAAGAAACTCAAGAGACCCATGGAGAATTGTCTCTCAACACCAGACAGACACTGCAAGATTGAGGTCACCTGGGAGGTCCTTATCAGTAGTGATCTGTTGCCAATTCTGTTGATTCGCCAAAGGATTTTGGTATGAAACTATGGGGGTATTAGTCCTCATAATTTTGTGTAAGCAAGAACCGGATAGACCACATAGCCCGCCTAGTTCCATTTATCTCTACAGTAGTGAGACACATGTATTTTTTGATGATACTTTACCTTAGTTGATAGTTATGATAACAAGTGAAGCGTCCCATTTTGTCCTTGGACTGAGAAGAGCTTAACATATCTACTGCTGGCTGCTTCCATTAATCATCAGAGAAAGGATGCAGTTCTTATTTGCTTCATTCTATAAACTGGCAGTAGATATCTTTGTTTAAGTTGTATTTATTTAAGTCACTTCTGCACCCAGCATGGGGCTTGAACTCATGACCCTGAGATCAGGAGTCACATGCTCTTCCAACTGAGCCAGCCAGGCGCCCCGACAGTAGCTATCTTTAAGGAGCATTAGCATGACGCAATTTAAGTATAACTTTATCTTTGGTTATTTCAGTGGTAAATCACACTGCTTAAATTTTTAATTTTAACTGGTCTGTAAAAATACAATTCATTTTTGTAAACTGATTTTTAAAAAATAAAGTTTATTTTGTAGAGCACTTTTAGGTTCCTAGCAAAATTGGGGGGAAGGTACAGAGGTTTCCCATACACTCCCTGCCTCTACAATGCATAGGCTCCTCCATTTACCAACATCCCCCACCAGAGTGGTACATTTGTTTCAGTTGATGGATCTACTCTGACATCTCATTATCATCCAAAGCCCATAGTTTACATTAGGGTTGACTCTTGGGGTTGTACATTCTGTGGGTTTGGACACATGTATAATCATTACATCACCATTATAGTACCTCCACTACAGTCTCCCCATCGTAGTGGTACCATTGTAGTACCATAAAGAATATAAACTGATTTTTAAAAAATCCACCCATCTTATGAAACATTTATTTAATTCTGGTAATATATCTGTGTATTCTGGAATGGAAAGGAGGTTACTAGGTCACCACAGTACCCCACCTTGAAAATAGAAGCCTCAGTATGCTGTTTAAAATTAGCATGTTAGAATTGTAGAGTGGAAGAAGTCACTGACAGATCAGGTCAACAACAGCAACGGAACCCAAGGAAACTGAGGGAGATGATGGAGCGAGGTCTGTTATCCTGATCGTGGCAGTGGTATCACAGGTGTATGCATATGTTCAAATCACCAAATTGTATATATTAAATATGTGCAGTTCTTTGTATATCAATTATACCTTGGTAAAGCTATTTTACTTTATTTTTTTATTTTTTATTTAAAAAAAAAACCATAGGAACGGTTTAGATAAACATTATCTCTTCTATGTAACACTTGTTAGTCCAGAGTAGATAAATTAACAGAAAAACAAATTTATGTCACATTAAAGTTTTAAAATATTGATATATATAGTGTTTGCTTAGAGTGTGCATCTAGGCACTTAATAAATGGGGAGTTTTGATTTCACTCAACTGTTTGTTAGTATTGTGGAGTGACAAAAAAGTAATGTTGTTAATAACAATTCTCTTTACTGGTAGGCTAGAAGATACTTTCCAAGTAACAATATTTACAGTTTTTCTAATTTGCTTCCTATAACCTGTAACATACCAGTTAAAATAAAAAATTTAAGCAGTGTGATTTACCGCTGAAATAACCAAAGATAAAGTTATACTTAAATTGGGTCATGCTAATGCTCCTTAAAGATAGCTACTGTTGGGGTGCCTGGCTGGCTCAGTTGGAAGAGCATGTGACTCTTGATCTCAGGGTCATGAGTTCGAGTGCCACTGTTCTAATTATATTTATTGAAATGTAATGTGTTGTCTATTTAACCTAAACTTTTTAAGCTCGTGTGTTATGTCTTTTTATTTCATTTTTCCATGAATGCATTTTTATTGTATTTTCCACAAGTGTCCATCCATAAATTATTAGGTGGGGAGAAAATGTCCTCACCACACATAGTTTGAAAAGCACGACTGTAGCGCAGAGGTTGGTAAATTATAGCCTGCTGTCTGTTTCTGTAAATACAGTTGGACTGGAACACCATCACAATTGTTTAACAAACGTCTATGGCTGAGTAGTTTTGGCAGAGACTGTATGGCCCTCAAAGCCTAAAATATTTACTGTCTGGTCCTTTGCAAAAAGAGTCTGCTGACCCCTGCTCAAGATGGCTGCATCTAATCTGTCAGGAAGACCTCTCTATTTTCTGCTCCCAGTCATTCAGTAAGCAAAGATAGCTCTGGAGCTCAGGACCCTTAAGATGATTAAACAGCCCCCCCTTCAGACAGAGGGCTAGAAGAAGTGAAGTTTAGATACTATCTAGATAATACCTTTGATAGGGAATGGAGAGCTTATAAACCCCTCCACATGGTCTCTCTCAGTATCTGGAAATTCCTGTCTAATTTTGATTCCACAGAATCAAAGTATGATCCAATCCAGATAGGGCAATAAGCACTAAATCTGGAAGACCCAAAAGGGTCCCGAAGCCAGACACATGACAAGTGTTCTGACTACAGGAGTAAGTGAGCAAGTGAGTCAGAGAGAAGGGACCTCTTACGCCATTATTTTTATCTAACTGCACATTCAGTACTTTGAAAAAAAATGATTTCCTGTACAGATCGCAAGAAGCAATGATAAAAACAGTGGAAAGGGTAATTTTGGTGGTGTTCTTTGGATTTTACTTGCTGCTTGGAATCTAATCTTAAAATAGCCTGTTAAATGTATAATGGTTATCTAATTCAGTTTCCATGGTTCAGTTATGGTAAAATAAAATTATTTTTATAAAAAGTTAAGAAAAAGATCAAGTCCAGTGGTTTCCAATCAGGGGTGTGTATGAATGTCACCTGTGGAGCCTTTGCTCCATCCCAGACACAGAATGTTCCGAGCTAGGGACCAGAGATAGAGATGGTATTTTGTTTAATAAGTTTCACAGGTGATTCTCATGCCCACCAGCTGTTAAGAACCACAGTCAGGTCCAACCATCTCATTTTAAAAAGATGAGAAGACTGAAGCCTGAGGAGTTTGCATACAATACTCTGTCCTTTCAATTCTCCACAGTCCTGGATAGCTTTCCGCAACACTGGAAAGGCAGGTGTAGACAGGGATTAGGGTGAGCATCCAGAAAATGGGCCAAATCGAGTTTGAAATTCTCACTACAGGTAACCAGAATTTGATCGCCGTTTTTGTGTTGATTATCAGTAAAGAGTATTTGTTTTACGTAGTTTATCACTATGCAAAAATCTAAAAATCTTGGGGCGCCTGGGTGGCTCAGTCATTAAGCGTCTGCCTTCGGCTCAGGTCATGATCCCGGGGTCCTGGGTTCGAGCCCCGCATCGGGCTCCCTGCTCAGCGGGAAGCCTGCTTCTCCCTCTTCCACTCCCCCTGCTTGTGTTCCCTCTCTCACTGTCTCTCTCTCTCTGTCAAATAAATAAAATCTTTTAAAAAAAAATCTAAAAATCTTCATCTTTGTGTAGCAATTTTACTTTTAAACTGAAGAAAATGCCGTGCTTTTTTCTTTCATTTAGTGAGCATCCCTCCAAATAGACCGACCCCTTCGGACATGGCTATTGTCATGTATACCAGTGGTTCTACTGGCCGACCTAAGGGAGTGATGATGCACCATAGCAATTTGATAGCCGGAATGACAGGCCAGTGTGAGAGAATTCCTGGACTGGGGTAAGAGAGAGTTATTCCACTTTCTCCTTAGAAATCAGATCCCATGTTTGGCCTTCTGTAAACTCAATCTATATTAAAATGACAAGGCTATTGATGTTCCTAATTACCGCACCTTTTTAAGAATGGCTAAAATGTTTCTCTCATTTTGTTTTAGACCAAAGGACACATACATTGGCTACTTGCCTTTGGCTCATGTACTAGAATTGACAGCAGAGATCTCTTGCTTTACCTATGGCTGTAGGATTGGATATTCTTCTCCACTGACACTCTCTGACCAGGTGACAAGTTTTTCACTATATTGGCGTGATCATATTAAGTTGCATTGTTTGGCTGAAAACATTTTGCTGAAACTTGAGATATTTTAATTCTGTGAAAGCTTTCTCCTTGACTTCAAAAAGAGTTTCCATGAGCAAATACGTAGTTGTGGAAAAGAATCTTGTGGATTTTTTAGCATTGCTTCATCTACATCTTTTTAAACAATTTTGAAACTAACAGTGCATCTTGTCTTTATTCGATTTTGATTCTGGATATAGCTAGGACAGAGAATATAAAGGCTCTGAGCCTTTTGGACGCATTATCCATCACAGTGGTAGGTTTTGGGGAGGAGATGTGGTGGTAGGATTGGAGCCCAGTTTTACGCTGAGTTTTCTCTAGCACTGTGCTGTCGACTGCAGTAGTCCCTAGCCACATACTGAAGTAGAGATAATTAAAATTAGATGAGAAAAATTTCATTTCTCAGTTGCTGTAGCCACATTTCAAGGTCTCAGTAGCTGCATGTCACTGGTGGCTACCCTGTTGGACAGCACAGGTACCAAACATTTCCATCATCGTGGCAAGTTCTATTGCCTATCCAAAGGCAGGCCTCAGCTTTGTGCCCTGAGTCCAGGTTCTCCCTTCTCCCTGCTGTAGGAAGGCCAACAATGGTTAGAGCTAACTCATGTACTTAAAGCCCATTTGAGATTACACATCCAATACCCTACTGATAAATGAGACTTGATCTAGTCAAGTTAAAACAGACCTGTGAATAAGCCTGGGGCTTGGATCGTAAAACAAAATTTTTAGAAAACTTTGTAATGGTAAAAAAAAGAAAAAAAGAAAAATCTGTGATGATTACATTTCAGTGCACTGTAGTGGGTTTTTCTTATGTTTAGAAATGTTTTCAAAATGTGAAAAACATTTCAATAGGCTTTGAGTGTAATTCCCACCCCCACCCCCACCCCGAGAAGTTCAGAAGTCAAGGACTAGCAACCCTTGTTTTCACTGCCTTTCTGAAAACAGTCACCTCTGTGTAGGGAAGGGGGCAGATGGAGTGAATGCCTCACCTACCTTTTTAATGAACTTTACAAGGAAGAGCCTAAATCTTACCAGGGATCTAAAACCCAGGAATCTCCCTCACATTGGAGATCCGAGAAAGGGGGAAGATTAGAGGCACCGCACGTGAAGCCAGCAGAGAATTGTGATGTCCTAACAAGGGTTCTTGTAATTGTAATAAGACAAGAGAAATGATACCATTACTGAGAGTAATAAAAGTGAGGAAGGGCTCCTTGTGGCTACTGCTACCCTGGAACAGCTCTCCAGAACAAGTGGTCAGCACCACATGGAGGGCAGCTCTTTCTCGAAGGACGTAAGAGCCCATCTTTCTCTCTACAGAGCAGCCCTCCCGTGTGTGGTGCGCATGTGCGGGGGTAGGTTTCCACTTGCAAATGTACACGCACTTGCACATACATAAAACAAGTAGTTATTTTATTTTCTTTATCCATCTTAAAGAAAAGGAGGATAAAAGCAATTGAGTTCTACCAGCAGAACCTTCTGTATGACGAGGCTGTGCTACCTGGCAGATCACACTGTTTCTTAAGAGCTGGTTTTCTTCCCACCTGTGTCGGCACAACTAACACAGCCTACATCTAAACTTACAGACTAATGAACTGCATTGTAGCAGGTTCTTATTTTCACTTTTTATTTTTAAATTTTGTTTATTTTTTTAGAGAGGGGGGAACAGAGGGGGAAGAAGAGAGAGAATCTTAAGCAGGCTCCACACCCAGCACGTGAGCCTGACGTGGGGCTCTATCTCACAACCCTAAGACCATGACCTGAGCTGAAATCAGGAGTCGGACGCTTAACCAACAGAGCCACTCAGGCGCCCCAGCAGATTCTTATTTTCATTTCCCTTTTTCAGTGGGCTCCTTTATCATTGTTTCTGCGTGCTGATTTGACATTTGAAATCCCAAACAGTTATTTATGTGTGTGAGAAGTAAAAGAAAAGAAAACGAAAGAAAGTAGTACGTACACATTGACATATGTATGTGCATATCCCCACATAGTGGTAGTGTCTTCAGTATCTTGTCAACGAAAATGTTATCAAATGAATATTTTTGTATGATGTTAATTGACAGCAGTGACTTTGAGAGGTGGCTTTACCATTTGGCTCATCAAAGAAAGTTAAAAGTATCTTCAACTTTGTTTTAGCGCTCCATCTACCTTAGTTGCGGGCTTCTGTTTTTCCCTTTTTTTCCCTAATGGATGTTTTGTGCTGTGGTCGATATGTCATAAATAGGAATGCTCCATTTACCAAAATATCCCGTTCTCCTTCATTCTGAATCAGCATTTCTCCTCTAAAGAAGGCTGAAATGTGCTTGAAGAAATAATCTATGGACTAAAGCACTAAAACATTTACACTTTAGACTTTTGTAGGTTTTGATGGTTCTAACCGATAACTCCCAGAGCAGTAGAAGATCAAATTCCATGTGTAAATTTCTGTCACTGTCATCCTTGATATTCGAATTACAGCATTTTTTGTGAAGGTTGGTTTTCCTGATCCTGTTTACTTTGTCTTTGCTGTAGTCCAGCAAAATTAAAAAAGGAAGCAAAGGAGACTGCACTGTACTGAAGCCTACACTCATGGCGGCTGTTCCGGTGAGTACAGAACGTAAATGTCCTTCGCTGCTAGCACTTGGGCTTTTTTTTTCCCACGATTTTATTTATTTATTTGAGAGAGAGAATGAGATAGAGAGAGCATGAGAGGGGGGAGGGTCAGAGGGAGAAGCAGGCTCCCCGCCGAGCAGGGAGCCCGATGCGGGATTCGATCCCGGGACTCCAGGATCATGACCTGAGCCGAAGGCAGACGCTTAACCAGCTGAGCCACCCAGGCGCCCTTGCACTTGGACTTTTTAAACGGTAATACCCTTAGGGATTTGTGTACGGTTTTAAATTTTAATTTTACTGTGTTGAAATTATGGCAGAAGTGTTCATTAGAAGTTTCGGTAAGTATTGGGGAGGATGGGATGGCAAGCTTCTGCAGCGTATGCCTGCTAGTGTTGCCGATACTTGAAAATGAGGGGCTGAAAATGACCTGAGTTCAGATCACCTTGTATGAGAATCGGTCATAATGTTTCAAAGGTAGAAGGTTATCCTACAGACTGTTTTTGTTTCATCACAAATTTAAGAAAAACAAAAACTAAAACTGAGGGAACATAGGCCATCCCAGAGAGCTGAAGCAGCATATCCAAGGTATGGAACTGAGTCTCGGATCCGAGCCTCCCGACCCTTATGGTGGGTGACCAGGAAAACTGGCACTGGAGAGAGCTTCCAAAGAGAAAAGATGACTTTTAGATATTTAAAATCCTTATGTGAAATAGTGCCTTTTACGAAAAGGAAGGCATTACAGTTTTTTGGCCTTTTTTTTTTTTTTTAAAGATTTTATTTATTAGAGAGGAGAGAGAGAGCACAAGCGCGGGGGGTGGGTGGGGGGGGAGGAGCAGAGGGAGAGGGAGAAGCAGACCCCCCAC